TTTATCGGAGCGGTACTCTACTCTGCGTGAGCCAGAGCATTCCTGCCAGAGGCCAGGTTCAGAGAAATGTCAGATCTGATTGCCAGCGTCACTGCCCACCCACTCACCACTGCCCAGGACTCTCAGATTATTGGGGCACATGGGAGCATGCAAGTACATTATCCAACATGCGAGACTCAGACTACGCCCCCTCCAGATGTGGCTGGAGTCGGTGTACTCCCTGGCCAGAAATCACCTAGACAAGGTCATCATGATTCTGCTGTGAGTACTTACCTCCCTGTAGTGGTGGTCTGACCTGATTCTGGTGTTGGAAGGTGTGCCGTTTGCGAGCCCGCGACCCACAGTCTCCCTGATTTCAGACGCGGCTGACCTTGGTTGGGGAGCACATCTCGGTACACTGCGAACTCAAGGGTTATGGTATCGAGAGGAGCTCACACTTTATATAAACATCAGGGAGCTCAGAGCTATCCATCTGGCTTGCGGAGTCTTGTCTTCCCCAACTGTCCGGTCTGATAGTGCAGGTGTTGACGGACAACACGGCCTCCATGTTCTGTGTCAACAGACGGGGGGAGCTTTTTCGTCGACTCTGTGCCAGGAAGCCCTCTGTCTGTGGGACTTCTGCATTCAGCATGCAATCACCGTGGAAGCCTCGCACCTCCCCGGTGTCCAGAACACGCTGGCAGATCGCCTCAGTAGGTCCTTCTTCTCTCACCACGAGTAGTCCCTTCACTCGGAGGTCATCAGAATGCTCTTCCGGAAGTGGGGAGCTCCCCGAGTGGACCTGTTTGCCACCAGACAGAACAAAAGCTGTCATCAGTTCTGCTCTCTCCAAGGCCTCGGCAGAAGCTCACTTTCGATGCCTTTCTCCTGTCTTGGTCAGGAGACCTGATGTACGCCTTCCCTCCAATTCCGCTCATCAGCAAAGTCCTCTCAAAAATCAAGCGGGACAATGCACGGGTCATTATGATTGCCCCAGCATGGCCTCACCAGCATTGGTTCGGCATGCTGATGGACCTGCCCGTAACAATCCTGTGGCCATTTCCCAGCCACCCAGACCTACTCTTTCAGGATCACAGTCGGCTCCTGCACCCGAACCTCACCTCTCTCCACCTCACAGCTTGGATCCTGCGTGGCTGAATCAAGAGGAACAAACCTGCTCTAGTCAGGTACAGCAGGTTCTCTTGGAGAGCAGAAAGCCCTTCACCAGAGCAACTTACCTGGCAAAGCAGAAGCATTTCTCCTCATGGGCATCGGAGTGCAGTATCCCCCCGACCCAATCGTCTCTGCAGTCCATCTTGGATTACCTGCTTCACTTAAAGCACCAGGGCCTCGCCTTCTCTTTGATCAAGGTGTACCTGGCAGCCATATCGGCCTTCCATCCTCGCATCCAGGTAGATCGTTATTCTTGCATGAGATGTCGATCAGGTTCCTGAAAGGCCTTAAAAGACTCTTCCCTCTGACCTGGTACCCAGTTCCCCAATGGGACCTCAGTCTGGTCCTCTCCAGGCTCACAGGTCCACCCTTTGAGCCTATGGCTTCTTGTTCCCTTTCCCACTTGTCGTGAAAGGTTGCATTCCTCGTAGCTATTACCTCAGCGAGACGTGTCTCTGAGATTAAAGCCCTCACTTCGGAGTCCCCATACATGGTATTCTACAAGGACAAGGTCCAGCTGCAACCCCATCCAACCTTCCTGCCAAAGGTGGTGTTGCACTTCCATGTCAATCAGGATATCTTCCTCCCAGTGTTCTGTCCAAAGCTGCACACCACCAATGAGGAGAGGTGGCTGCACACTCTAGATGTCAGGCACGCCCTGGCTTTCTACTTGGAGCGCACCAAGCCCTTCCGCAGATTGACCCAGCTCTTTATCGCGATAGATGACAGGACAAAGGGTCATCCGGTGTCCTCTCAGAGGATTTCGAATTGGATCATCACCTGCATCCATACTTGTTATGAGTTGGCGCAGGCTGTGCCTCCACCGATAGTGAAGGCTCACTCGACTAGGGCGCAGGCGTCTTCGGTTGCCTTCCTGGCGCATGTCCCTTTCCAGGACATCTGCAGGGCCACGATGTGGTCTTCAGTACACATGTTCACGATGCATTACACCATCACTCAGTAGGCCAGAGATGATGCTCGCTTCTGCAGAGCTGTGTTGCAGTTGACACGTCCGTGAACTCCTACCCGCTTCTGGTGGTACTGCTTGGGAGTCATCTACAATGGAATGGACACGAGCAAGCATTCAAAGAAGAAAAGAGGGTTACCTTTTGTAACTGTTGTTCTTCAAGATGTGTTGCTCATGTCCATTCTGTGACCTGCCCTCCTTCCCCTCTGTCAGAGTACCGGCAAGAAGGAACTGAGGGAGGGGGGAGCCGGTGGCATGCCTTATCCTGGTGCATATGCGCACCACTCTGGAGAACACCAGAGCCGGTCCCCAACGGATATCACTGAGGGAAAAACTTCCAGCACCAGTGCATGTGGCAAGCGCACACACCTACAATGGAATGGACATGAGCCACACATCTCAAAGAACAACAGTTACGAAAGGTAACCATCTTTTTTCAGTAATCAAATCCTTAGTAGTGTGCAGATAGGACTCCAGAATAGCTTCATTGTTTTCCTTTAATTTTCTGATGAGCAGTTTGTTTGTTATTAAATTTTCCAAGAAAAGTTGTATAGTGTATCTCAAGGCTTTCTCAGCTTTTTCAACCAGAAGAGTGATTAAATTTCCACTTACAATTCTAGTTCACTTCAGATATTTTCAGTGTCTTTGCCTTATATAGCTGTTTCAACCTGTTCACTGGATTTTTAAGGGCTAATCTATTTTGCTCTAGGGCAAATAGTTTATTATATGTTTTGATGGTTTTTTTCATATAAAGAACTTATAGAAAAATACATTCTATATCTTTTCCATTTTGTGTTTAGTATTAAAAAAATTCCTTAGGAAGCATTTTTTTTTTTTTACTTTTACATTGTTCTTTAAGAAAAAAAGCACTGAACTTTTATATTTAAAAATATAAGGGGTGCAAATCCTCTCCCCACTGTGTCCCTGTTTCTCTGGGTAAGGGGGCTGGAGCAGCATAAAGGGGATCTAAAAGCCCCCAATCCAGCTGGGGAGAATTTTCCCAGCTAAGGAACTGCAAAGACAGCTGTAAGACTGTTTTCTGAGGGCCCCCTTTTGCATGTCCTGAGGTAGGGGTGAGGCTCGGGGTGAGAAGGCTGTGTTGTGGGTGGGACTGCAGCATGTATCACTGTGGAGTGTTCAGAAAACATTGTGACCCTTAGGTAGTCCAGGAAGGCTGCTGTAATTTAGATAGGCACCTAGACAGTCTGAATTATGCCAGCCTAAGATCAGAGGGTGCAAAAGTGGGTTGAAGCTAACATAGCTCCTCTCCACCTGCACTGCAAGAAATACCTCTCTTTGAGGTGCACCACAGACTCTCACACAAGGCATATAATGGATATAAGGTCAAGTGGAATATATCCATATTGTTGATGGTGAAGAAATGCAGATAAGGGCTGTGTTCCACTAATTTATAACATAAAGTCTCTCTAGTAAACTCCAGCTGAGGATATCAGATGAGTATCCTGCAATCTTTGTACCCAGTACTTTTGAAAAACAGGACACCTATACAGGTGTTTAATTATGAACTTAGAAACCGAACTGGAAGCACTGATTTTTAAAATAAATCATGATAATTTGATTTTAACAATTGTGAAAACTATTATTTCCTTTCAAAAAAATTTCTTTTTTTTTAAAGTTGATAAAATATAAGAAAAATGTTCAAAAGTTGCACATTTTGTAATTTTTTCATAGCTGTACAGTTTTCTGATGTTACTAATAAATTAGTGTCACGTTAAGAAAATACTGGTTCTGCAGCTGTTTCTTAAAGTTAGAGTAACGCTCTCCCTAAAATTATGAAGTATTTGCTTAGTGCCTGTACTGACTTGGCAAAAACTATCAATTATTTTTATTTCTTACCTATTCTCTTTCTTTAATTGGGAAGAGTGTACTTCCTCAGCTGGCCTATTTGTTTTGGGGTGGGTTTTTTTTTTTTTTTTTTTTTTTACTTTAATCTGTGTTACTCATTTAAGACATCTGTGCACTTCCATCAAAAATTAATTTTCTGTCTGTTCTGATCGTGTGGTCCAGTCCTATTCTACTGATATTAGTGGGTTTTGATTAGACCTGCTCGAACAATTTCCATCTGAATGATTTTCTGATTAAAAATGCAGTTTCAACAAAAATCAAAATTTACCGTGGGATAATCAAAATGAAATGTTTTGTTTCAGGTCAGTTTGACCCGCATCAGAATATTCATTTTATTGAGTTGACCTGACACATTTCATTTGAATCCGTTAAAAAAGATTAAATTGCATTTCTCTATATGTATAGCGATTAAGAAACATGTAGACATGGATGTCTGTAAAATCAATGCATCCTTTTATTTTTCAAAATAAATTAAGTGCATTGGTTCTTAAATAGCCTACCACTCATCATGAGTAATACCTGTAGGTGCGTCCTATCTATATCCATAGTGATTCTGCAAATAAGAAAATGCACTACAGGTGTTTATCAAGTGATGATTTTCTCTTGTTTTTATTTCCCCTTTCTTATTGTAAGAGGTGCGTGTGGCACATTAAGGGCAAAGATACTGTTCCACACCTATCAGAATAAGAAAGAACGAACAGAGGAACATCACTTCTCTGAAAAAAAAATTAAATACCCTTAGTGCAGGTTTATATTGGTGAGAGCAGAAATATAAATAATGTCACATGCAGATAGAGACAAATTGAGAAAGGAATCTTCTATTAAGGAGAAGAATGTCAGGCCAAAAGAGACAAGCTTATATAATGATTCTGCCATATACTAGTGCTAAGACTTGACATAAAAATATTGGTAATTGGAATTAGAGGAGCCAAAGAATCCAAAACTATTTATTTTTTTCTGTTCTAACACTTACATAATTAAATACAATTTAAAAGTATTATCTTTCTTCTTTCAGAATGATCAGTCTACACAAGATATGCAGATAATAGGAGGAGAAGATCTTTCAAAGCTGACTGGAAAGGTTTGTTAATTTTAAATTGAAAATTAAGTAGTACATCAACTAAGAAGCTGTTGGAAAAAGAGGTCTGATTCTATATGGAAGAACACAATCTGTAATAGCTGTGCATTTGGAAATTTAACACTTTTATAGTTTAACCAATTCATTTAAATGAATGTGGTTTTATTTTATTTCTTGTTGTAAACAAGAAACGAAGTTCTGACCTGTTATATCTCTGTATACTTGTAATGGGATTGCAGGGGTATAACTGGGGCAGAATTTAGCCCATATTTCTGAATATTTGAAGATTCTAATATTTTGTTGAATTGTAAAAAAATTAATTGTGGGACTTGTAAGTTGCTTAACTGAATCAGATAGGATATTTTATTTCCAGTATTTGGCAATTTGAAGAGCATTCTGTATGACTGAGTTTCCTTTTCCACTATGGCTGAACATACTGATGATGAAAGAGAAATAGAGATTTGATTCATTGAAAAGACTGTTTTGATCCAGGCATAGCTATACAAAGCAGTACTTAAAGAGGAAGGAAGAATGATTTCATTACACAGATGGTCTATGTGGAAAATAGGCAGAAAAGTAAGCGTCACTGTGAATTAACGCAATGTAATACCCATTTTGTTATTTACACTAAAAAGGCAGTTATTCTTATATGAATTGGCATTCCATAACATCAGTTTCCTTTGTAAAACAGATTAAAATGTGGCATTAATCCGATCATTTATTTTGTTGTACTATCTCATATTGAGAAAAGAGAGTAGAAAACACAGTTAAAATAATACACTAATATTAAGTAGATTTTGGTGCAACTAGAACTTGAATGACAACGTACTATATTCTAAGATATTTTAATAGCAGATATGGCCTCAGTTTGCACTCACAATTCCAACTGGGTGGGAATTGTTCTCCAAATCAAGCCCTAAGTGTTAGTCATGTTCTTACCAAACATTATTTCATTTAGACTTTCTAGTTAATCCAGCATTAGAGATGCAGTTTTTCTGAGTGATGATTTTGTGTGTGTGTGTCTCCCCCCCGCCCCATTATAGGTGAGGCTGATAGGTTGCCTGACCTTTCCCATTTTAAGACCCAATTTTCAATTACTTATAACTTTGTACAAATTTTAACCATTCAGGCTGAAATTGTTCATGCTGAGAGAAACTTGTGGAGTGTGGAAGTGAAATTAAAACTCAGTGAGCCCAAAGTGGGAAAAAATGATTGGCTGTGCCAGGAGATTGGAATCAGGATGAGAAGCCTGAGGAGTGGAGACTGGGACTGGGTAGGCAATGAGAATGTGACTAGGACAAGGAGCCAGGAATGGAGAAGAGACAAGAATGGGACAAGGATGAGGCAGAAGAATCTGTGTCTCCTAGAACACACTTCCTTCCAGAGCCACTCTCCCCTTCCCCCTCCCCCGTTGGTTCCCAGCCAGTGGGAGTGCGGAACCTGTGCTCGGGGCAGCATGCGGAGCCCTGTGGCCCCCCCACCTAGGAGCCGGACCTGCTGCTGGCCGCTTCCGGGGCGCAGCGTGGTAGGGACTAGCCGACAGCACCACCGATGGGTCTTCTAATGGCCTGGTCAGCAGTGCTGACCAGAGCCGCTGTGACGCAGTGCCTTACATTCTGTGACCCAGCAGTGGGTCGCGACCCACAGTTTGAAAACCACTGGCTTAGCCAATACTCAGGGTCTTGCAGGTTGTTTCCATTAGGAGTAGAAATTGATAATAAAATTATGTATTTTTTGTTACACTGTTGTTTATTTACAGAGAATATACACTAAGTCCTGTTTCCCTGAAAGCAGTAAGAAATCTAACAATAGGAGTGAGTTTCTCTGCTTACAGTTAGAAGCCTCTTTCTAGCCAGCACTCTGCCAAAAAAAAAAATTCCCTCTTCACTCTCTCAGGGCAATATTATCAAGTACTTTTCTTGCCTCTTTAGCTTTTCTGCTGCCTTCTCTGTCTGCTTCTGCTGGCAGACACACCGATGCAATCAAACCAATTCCCCCCCATACACGTTATCAGACTCCCAGGAAACCCCTTAGCCTTCCTGGTCCAGCCACCCAAGCTTGCATGCAATTTAGTCCTTAGGCAATGGTTTTCCATTGTTTCAGCTATCACTAAAGAAATGGGCATTTAATTTTTCCCTCATTTAGCGTAAGTGCAAGATGACCTTCATGCCCAACAGCCTCATGCCAACCCCCAGCATAACAATAATGTATATGTGAAAGGGGGCAGAATTAAAGTTGCTAGCATTAAGGTTGGCTGTGCATTTCCTAACTCTTGGGTGCTTGACTTTTCAACCTTAACAATGTTCTTTTAACATAGTTTTTTATGTGTATTATCTATAGATGATGTATCAACTTAGATATAAAAATATAGTATGTTTGATATTTCTTAGAGCAGCCTTTCGTAATCCATACTTCTGTTATCTCAGTTACTAGACATTATAAACCTGAATGACCTCAGGTGACATGATTATATAAAGCTTGACATTTCTGAGGACAAAGGTTATGTGCCTTTTTTTTTTTTTTTTTTAAAGAAGATTAAAGCAAATTTGTGTTATGTTTAGGAGACTGGAAGCTTTCAAAGAGCAATTTCTCAGTGGTACATAGTGTTCAGAATATTTATCTTTGGATATATTCTGAACAGCCTACTACAGCTTTTGAGCACAATACTCCCAGTTGAATGTCTCCCATCTGATTGCACTACCTGCTGCTATACCCCTTCATACATAGATGACAAGTGCTGCTGCCTGTCACACAGTTGGGGAGGGCAATAGCCTGTGAATGCTGTGCCTGCAATTGGGACTGTCTCTTATTCAGGCCATAAAATAACAGGGAGGCTGTTTGTGCCCCACCTGTTGCACAGCTGCACAAGGGCCCTAATTTAGCTTTAACGTTTATTTTTTTTAAAATGCTTATTTATTTTAGTTAGCATGTATTATGATGCAGTTTGCATTACTTCCTGTATAACCGAGTTTCTTTTGTTTTGTTTCAGAGTGCGTTAATTGTGGAGGTAAGGTGGCTAGTCATATAATATTATACATAGATAATAAAGTCATAATTCTGTGGTCAACTTCTAAAATACTGTCAGTGATAATGTTCACCCTTCATGAGATGGGAGGGCAATAAAGAAAAGAAGCATTTTATTTGGGTGCTGACCCCTCCACCACCTTTGATAGGCTTACCAATGACACCATATTTGTGCTGCTCTCATTGGTTAGTGCAGGATCCAGTCTCGTGTGCCCAGCAATCTTCCTGGCTGCATCACCTGCTCTTTTTTTATTGATGGCGTCACAAATTGCTGCTTTCTTCTGCTAGTTGATCAGTAGTTTGGGGGAGAGTAGAGGCTGTCCTAAGCTCCCTGGCATGGCTTTGGGATGGAACTGGTAAAATGATATGGTCCTGGATATCCCTCACAGCTTCAGTGCTGTGTATGTCTTATTTACAGACTGGTTCACTTTGAAGTGCCCATGCCTGATTATCAGCACTGTGCATTCTGGAGTGTTCCATCATGCCAGCACTTCAAAGGAAAGTGGCTAGCCTGAAGCAATGATACTGAGAGGGAGAGGTGGTGGAAAGTAGATATCACTAGAAGGAACTGCAAAAGCTCTGTCTGTATCTGTAGTTATCTTTAAATGTAACATACACGTTAAAGGGAGAAAAGCCACATAGGCCATATCTGTGAACACATCAGTATGTGATTGGCATACCAGCTAAATCTGCCCATGAGGGGAAGAGTTGTGAGGGTAAGCAGCATGGAAGGTGACATGGGGAAGTTAATAGTGGGCAGGATTTTGAATTTGTCAGTGTGGAAGGAAAAATCAAAAAGTAAAGAGATCCATTGGTTGTTTGAATAATAAAGCAGGACCCTTGGTATTGTGTAGCACTTGTTTCTTCAGCAGTGATTTAACAGTCCACCCAACACTAGGGAACCACACATGGCCAGGCATGGCATTGCGGCTATCTCACTGTGCTAACACCCCCTGCCAACAGTCACTCCCGTGCTGTGGTGGTTTCTCTCTTAGTAGCCCATCCAGTCTGCCCTTCAGCCAGGTCACAGTCTTTGGTCCTCCCCATCCAGGGTCTCAGTTGTCCAAAATTAAAAGTCCAGAAATGAGAAATGCTTAACTATTCCTAATTCTCTTCCCTGTTTTGACAGGATCTCTCCCAGGCCTGCCTGCCTGGAGCACTTTCCCCTGCTGACTCAGGACCCTGCAGACCCTTCTTGTTCCCTGCTATCTCTACAGTTACAGTGGCAGTTTCCTGAGCTTCCCCTTTTTATTGCCACTTCCTGCTCTGAGCTTCCTGCCTTTATAGGAACCTCCCTCCAGCTCTGTCCCCATCTGGGCATTATCACTACTTAACTATGGGCTAGTCTACACTACCCGCCCGGATCGGCGGGTAGAAATCGATCGCTCGGGGATCGATTTATCGCGTCTCATCTAGACGGATAAATCGATCCCCGAATCGACGCGCGTACTCCCACCTCGTCAGGAGGAGTAAGCGCCGTCGACGGGGGAGCTGCGGCGGTCGATTTGCCGCCGTCCTCACAGCGGGGTAAGTCGAATAGGATATGTCGAATTCAGCTACGCTATTTGCGTAGCTGAATTTGCGTATCTTAAATCGATCCCCCCCAGTGTAGACCTAGCCTATGGCTCCTTTTTACACAGGAATTACCTGATTCCTCTCAGGTGAGGCCCATTCTGTAATCAGGTTGGTTTAGCCCCACAATCTCCTAAAGGATAAAAAAACATCTGCAGCAAATTATATTAAAATGTGGTAGCTGAGGAGTAGTGATAAGATTTTGCCAACTGAAATTGCACACCCACAGAGTTTAGTATCACCATCTGCTCGTCAAGCAATATTCAGTTACATAGCCATATACTCATGGATTAGGGAAACTCTGATACAATAGTATATGTGTCCATTCAGATGGCAGAGCACACTGCCATGAATATTTATATGCATTGCACTGTATGTCATGACTGGTTTACTGGCATGCTGGTTAGGGGGGAAGCTGTAGATATGATATATTATGATTTTGGAATAGCTTTCGCCTCAGTCCCACATGACAGTCTCATAAGCAAACTAGCGAAATACAGTCTAGATGAATTTATTATAAGGAGAGTAGATAACTGGTTGAAAAACCATACTCAGAGAGCAGTTATCACTGGTTCGCTGTCAAACTGGGAGGACATATTAAGTGGGATCCGACAGGAGTCTGCCCTTGGTCTGGTAGTATTGAATATTAATGTTAATGACTTGGATAATGGAGTGGAGAGTATGCATATAAAATTTGTGTATGACACCAAACTGGGAGGAGTTGCAAGCACTTTGGGGGATGGGATTAGAATTCAAAACAACTTTGACAAATTGGAGAATTCATCTGAAATCAACATGATGAAATTCAATAAAGTACAAAGTAATTTAGGAATGAAAATTAAAATAAATAGATATGAAATGGGGAATAACTGGCTATGTGGTAGCAATGCAGAAAAGGATCTGGGTGTTATAGTTGATCACAAATTGCCTATGAACCAACAATGTGATGCAGTTGTGAAAAAAGGTTCTTATTTTGGATGTCTTATCAGGAGTGTCATATGTAAAACAGAGAAGGTAATTGTCCCACTGTACTTGGCACTGGTGATGCCTCAGCTGGAGTACTATGTCCAATTCTGGGCACCACAGTTTTAAAAAGATGTGAACAAATTGGAGAGAATACAGAGGAGAGCAAAAAAAAAATGATAAAAGGTTTAGAAAAGCTGAGCTATGAGGAAGGGTAAAAAAAAATAGGCATGTTTAGTCTTACGAAAAAAAGACTAACAGGGAACCTGATAATAGTCTTCAAATATATTAAGGGTTGTTATAAAGAGGATGGTGATTCATTGTTATCCATATCCACTGAAGGTAGGGCAAGACATAAAGGTCTTCATCTCTAGCAAGGGAGTTTTAGGTTAGATATTAGGAAAAACTTTCTAACTATAAAGGTAGTTAAACTCTGGAATAGGCTTCCAAGGGAGATTGTGGAATCTCCATCTTTGGAAGTTTTTAAGAACAGATTATACCAACACCTTCAGAGAAGATCTAGATCTAGGTATTTTTGGTCCTGCCTTAGAGCAAGGAGCTGGACTAGATGACCTCTTGAGGTCCCTTCCAACCCTACATTTCTATGATTACATGACAAAATGCTTCTTAGGGCTAAATTCTGTCCTTGGATGCACAAGTGCTGAGATACTATGATCATGGGCTTGATATAAGAAATCTGATGGTTATGTATGTGCAGTGCCCACTGAAGTTAGCAGAATTCCCACTAGTGCATCCAAGGGCAGAATTTATCCCTTTACAGTAGAAAGCAGGCAATCCTCCAACCTGTTTGTATTTCTCTTAAATTGTATCCCTGTGGGGAAAGTGCCTGGTTCAAAGAATTGAACCGCTTCCCCAACCTTTTCCGGATATTACTCTCAGTACATTAGGGGAAGAAAACAAAACCATCATTTCCCCAGAAATAAAAATATGAAACCGTTCTAATTTTACTCAAGTTTCCTGTTCCATGATTATTTTTTCCATATTATATTTTTCATGTTTTGCAAAGGATATTATTGGAACTGGAAGGACTATGAAGGCTCTGCTTAATAACATAGAAAAATACAAGCCAAAGATGATTAAGGTAGCAAGGTGAGTAAAATATTCACAAAAGTCATGTTTAACTATTGAAAGAAAATAAATGGTTACTCTAATGGTGGCACAACATGATTTCCTGTGGAGGATCAAGTCTGATTTAGTCTTGTTGCACTACACTATCTTTCTGGGAGTACTACAGAGACAGCTGTCTGAGTCACTAAGGTGTGGGTGGAGAAGAGGAGAAGAAATGCTTTTGTACTGTTCTGCAGTGACCCCATTAGCCATTTCAAGAGTGGCACTGATGGACTTTGTAGGGAAGCATGCCCATCTCTTCTCTGCTAGGAGGACATTGATATTCTAGAGAGGCGAGGCAGAAATGGAGTGGGAATCCTTACAGTTCTGAGATATTTGGAGAAAATGAATATATTTTTAAATATAAGTTCTCCGGACAAATCCAACTTTTTATATAAAAAAATCTTTTTTTTTTTATGATAGTTTGTTGGTGAAAAGAACATCCCAACCTGGTGGGTACAGACCTGACTGTAAGTGCTTGTGAGAATTTTCTTTACATCATGATCCAATAAGCTAACATAATTCTAACAGTAGAATTGGATACTATTATACCACCACTGTGCAGGGTTTCAGCTTCTGCAGTAAGTAATCTCATGGCCAGTGAGACTAGGGACTGTATAGTCATGATACAGAGTGCTGCAGTTTGGAAGGTCTGACCTCATTAGTATACCCTGGCTACTAACACCCTAAACAGTTTTTTTCAGTCTGGTGTTCCCTGCTGAAAATTTTACAAGAAAATCATTAATTTACTTATGCCAAGCAAGTGCTTTCCCTTCTATCTTTGGTAACAGTGTGTGGATTAGCAAGTCCTTTTCTTCCCACCCCTCATTATGCCCTTAAAAGAGCCACCAGTTTCCTTCTAAGCTGAAAGTTATGTCTTTGTACCATTGTTATTTGCGAGCTATTGAGTTTGATGACAATAAGAAAACAATTTTGTTTTGTTAAATCAAGTATCCTTATTTAAAGGTTAGTTTGTTTATTTGATAGACAGTGATAATTATAAGTAACCTACCAAAAAAGCACAGGGTAGATTGGGCTTCTTTTTCTGATAATTTGTCCGCCCTTTGCTGCTCTGCTGTCAGTCAGCATGCACTTCTTAGAAATGCTTATATCACATTATGAATAATAAGGTCAATCAGGGGAAAGATGATAGAGGAGGAACCAAGCTACCGCCATGATAGGCTCTTTAGAGTAAATGACACAATGATAGGCATGTTGAGCTAAAATTTGAGAGAGCTGGATCTGCATGGAGAAGACCCACTAGCACTTGTTACTGAGGAGGGGAGTGGGTGTCTGTTTATTCAGGAAGAGAAGAAAGGGCGTCTGCCTGCACTGGGTAGATGGTGAAATGAGGAGATCTTGGAAAGAGGGTAGGTGAGTGTCTTCAGGGAGGGTGACGCTGTCCAGGGGAGGGTATTTGTTTGAAATTTAGGAGAGAGGGAGGCTATTGTGGGGTGAAAGGTGCTTGGAGGTCTGGCATGGACTCTGCACTAGGGAGAATGCATGTCTGCTGTGACCTGTGTTTCTAGCATAGTATCCTGGCCTGTGACCAAGTCATTCCACCCTGAGGCACTTTCTATACATCATTTTGGTTTCTTGACTCTTGATGTATGGAATTTGGGCCATGATATTAAGTATATGTTTCATGGGACTCACTATGGTTAAATATGTAAGTAAAATATAATCTTCAATAAGACACTTCCCTAAGGAAAAACTTAAACACGTATTTTAACATATTGTTTAAAAAGGTATGTACATATGACAGATTTCAAGTAAAAAGTAACAAGAAGCAGATATGATTAGTACAAACCCCAAGAGTACAAAACATTTGGGGTCACTGTCTCTTTACATCATCCCTAGTGCTTGTATCAGCTCTTCCAGTTAGCTATATTTGCTCTTCCAGAGGTAGTTTATCCATAGACATTAACAGGTGCAGGCCCTCTAGTTTGTGTATATGTAACGTTTGTATGCCCACCTATTTGTGTGTTTTGAAGATTCTGGATTTATTTTTTAGATTGTGAGCAATTTGGAGAAGGGTCTATATCTTCCTGTGTGGGGCTGATCCTGTACTAAATGCCACACTTACAAAGAATTACACTTGCGCTTAGCTTTAAGCATGTGAATAGTCTCGTTCACTTAATGTGTCTGTTCACATATTTAAATGTAGGCATGTGCTTTACTCGTTGCAGGACTGGGGTCTTAGTTTGTACAGCACCTGGCACATTTTTGGTGCTATTGTAATATAATATTTGCTGTTCCCAAAAGAGAATGCATAGACTCATATATAGGGCTATAAATTATTACCTATGGATTAGTCACTAAAAAGAATCTTTCTTTGTTTCCTCTGTAATGAAGTATAGATTGGCTTTACACATACATGCATGCTTAAGAAGCTGCAACCCAACTTGGACTGAACTTTTCTGCCTTGATTCTGGCTCCTTCCACAACTGGAACCACAGAGGGATATCCGACTTAGGGCAAGATACTAGGGGTACGAAATTGCAGTGTATTATGCCACTGATTTGACAACTGCCCCTGTGTATCACTTCCTCCCGCCTGTCGGCACAGATCATTCATGCTCCAGACCCAAATAATCTGTGGCATGGGGCCACAACTGACCAGAATTAAATCTCACATTAGTGATACTGATTTGTACCTGTCTAAGGGCCAAAAGATAACACAGCCAGAATTTGGCTCTCTATGTATATATTTTCTTGTTCAGAGAACTAGCACATTAAGTAGCTTAATTGTTTGTTTAATGGATATTTACTTATTTTTACATTGATACTATTTATTTTTCCCCATACAGATTATGGATTTGAAATTCCAAATTTGTTTGTGGTAGGTTATGCCTTAGACTACAACGAGCACTTCAGAGATCTAAACGTAAGTGTTTTCAGCTATAAACAAGATTTTTTTTTCAGTTTGTTGGAGCCTTGAAGAGTCTGTCATTTTCCTCTCCCTTGAGGCTTTATGTCATGGCCATGGTCCTTCCAGCAGAAGAGGACCAAATAGAACTCCCTTCAGAACCTCAGACACCATTCCTAGAGGAGTCATTGTTAAGCATTGTGAGCAATTCCTTCCTACCCCTTCTCTTGAAATCTCTTCCCCCCACCTCCCAAGAGCTGAATGAGTCACTTCTGCCACACTACCATCTTCTATGAGTTTGAAGAGTGAGGTCTTGTCTATACTAGGATTTTTCAGATCTGTAATTCCCAATAAGTGCAGCTCAAGCAGTGGAAGCTGTAATATAGGTACGGCTCAGATAGCTTAGGTGTTCTACTACTGTGTCTTCTATCCCTGTTCTCAGTGAATCAGTGATAAAAGAGGCCTGAGACTTGTCTAGCACTTCTACTGGTACTACCAGTGATGGAGGTTCACCAGTTGGGAATTACAGTCCAAAAATTCTTAGTGTAAATACAGCCTGAGAGATTGGGATCATGACTCAAATCTAGGTCTCTAAAGTGCAGAGTACTAATCACTAGACCATTTAGCTGGTCAAAAATCAAATATATTTCTAATTAAAGACAATTCAATAATGTAATTAATTATACTATTGCAATCTGTGTTGTGTTGTTTCAGCACATATGTGTTATCAATGACAACGGCAAAGGAAAATACAAAGTCTGAAGTAGTAGGGTCCAAGCCTGAAGATCTGTACATTCAGTGAACTGGAAATTTGACTACAATCCTTGAAACATCTCCCTGAAAACTAATTTAGTAGACTTATGTTTCTTTCATCTCAGTATAAAAAGTGGTTTCCTCTAAGGATAGTGACTTTGGTATTCAAAATTGAGTGCTCCTCTCTAAATATGAAGCATTGGGCTTTTAATGTATTGCAGGTTTTAAATACTAAAATTACAACATACTGTGTCTTGTGACTAATAACTTATCTACCTACAGACTTGTGAATACATCTTTTCTACATTTAGTGAGTCACTCTAAGTCACTTGTTATTTTTACAGTTTGTATACCTTGGAATGTCATATACAGTTGCTCAGCCATAACTTTACATTGTGTTTTAAATTTGATTTTTTAATACTGCAAAAATGTATTAACCAGAAAATTCAGCATCACTTTAGTTCAAATCAAATCCAACACTAATGTTCAGTGTTAATACATACACTGTTAGGTTTCAAATGAATGTGTGTGTTTGTGTATTTCTGACCACAATTATCTGCTCCATTAGAATATTTTGAACTCCAGTATGCAATGAATCTTAATGATGTTCTGAAATAAACTTTTACAGGACACTCTTGATTTGAACTTTCAAGATGAGATGATAATGGTGTGTCATATATGTATGGATGTATTCAAATGTGTTTAATATACTGAATTTTAATTGAAAGAAAACAATGGTGGTGAGGCTTCAGTTTCTAAACTGCGTCTTTTTATTTGCATGGGACATACGTCACAGAATGAACAAAATGTTTTCAAGGGCATATTTCCATAATTAAAAATAATAAAGTAGAAAAGTTTAATGTTTGCATGGCAGTTATTCCAATATAACTTTGGTTTTCATAACATTTTTAACAAAGTTAAGACATTTCTATAGTAAATTGTCCTATATAGGAATGCAGAAATGACTGTTTAGAAGAGTCCTACTATAAAAACAGTAAACATTTATAACAAAAACTCAATATCATAAAAAACAAGTCAGCATCATAAATATTGAAGACTCTAGAGACTTTCTCTTTTCCTTAAACAGCATTTTTGAAATAAGTTTGTTAATTTACCTGTTGTATTACTTTGAAAAATGTAATTATGTGCTGCATACAACTGTTCTCGATAACTTCCTGAAGGAAGCAAATGCCAAGTAAATAACTGTAACAACAACAGCTTTGTTCTGAACTGTATGAGGTATATTGTTATTAGGCTCTGGTTTTCTTTAAACTAATAAAGAAACAGTAAGAACACTTATTACATTACACAGTTGTTTATGATTTTTTCCTGCTTCAGTATTTTTGCACACCCGTTAACAGCCCTTTAAAAATTTGTATTTGGACTAGTAATCTAAACATACCCTATGTACATAAGAAAAGTTTATGCCACAGGTTATCTGGATAAAATCCAGTATGTTAATGATATGAAATAGTATAATCATAGGAATTACTGGGGGGTGGAAGGAAAATGCTTTAGCACATCCCCCTCCCTGCCTCAACAATTTGTTTATGTTCATATGGATTCTTGTTGAAAAAGGTTTTCCTGCATTTAATATCCTTGTTCAGTTTGCAAAAGAAAAGAAATCATACCCAGCTATTCCAAGGGGGAAAGTGGTAAAGGGAGTTGCATCTTATTTTATTCTATACATTTACTAGTATTGGGATATTTGATAGCTAAGCATGGTTAGGCTCAGTTCTAGAGTTACCATATTATGTAAAATGTGTTATCTTAATTAAAAACACACTAAAACTCGATTTGATAAATACTAAAGGCAAGTATTTAAGATGGAAATAATCCAGATTGTTGGAAATTGTTTTTGTATAAAAAATCATTAATTGCAAGATCAAATTTAGTAACGTAGGAATTGTCACTGTAACAGAAGAGATTGATTCATTAGAATTTGAGAGATGTACTTTGGTTTTGTGGAGAATATATTCTGGAAAACTTGCAGAGTATGTAATGAACAAGTGCAGTTCGCTTTTTTTTGCTCTTATTTCTTGCTCAGTTATTGTTCTAACAATGAATTTGAAAAGAATGCAAACAAAGTTAACAGAAAAGAAGTGTGCTTTTTACTTTAACAAGACTATATTCTGTCTAAGCATTGTTTTTCAGAGCTAGGAAAATCACAGACTGTACTTGCTGGTCAGAGTTTGTGTTTATATTAACTATATTTTATATCTTCCCATTATGGAAATCCTGCACAATTGCTGCATTTAAAAGGGTTATAAATCACTAGGTAAATTTCAATAGAACATGTAATCACTGTGGGCTAAAAGATATTGTCCCTCCTAGTTTCATACTTTAATTTTATTCCAATGAACATGTCCAGACATCTCACTTGCCACTCCACACCTAACCAATGCATTGTTCTTTCTGTCTGCATAAAACAATTTCATATGAAGAATTCATTTCCAATTACTTTCTTTAATAATCTGATTCCACAATACTGCCAGTGGACGTACACCACTGACTGAACTGTTCAGTAAAGTATATTTCTTTGATGAATGCTGATTTCAGTTTCTGCACAGAAGGATTGCGTTAAATGTGCACAAACTTTTAAAAAATCATTCTTATATTTCTATAGATATCTCTTAGTTTAATAATAATGTTTATTCCATGTCTCACAATGCGCTTTTAATTAAAGAGCCAATAAACATTTTTTCAACTGTGGTTGCACCCCATGACTCATAAGCTTGTTTTTTTTTTTTTTTTTTTTTTTTTTAATCAGTTCAACAACATCTGGTAGGTTATATAAGAAGAGAGGATGTTCTTTACAATCGGTTATTTTTCTGGACAATATGTTTCAGTATTTGGCAGACATCCATTTTTGTCTGAATTTTTCTTCTTGTACACGCCAACATTGGCACCCTTTCCCCTGCTGCTCCCCAAAAAAAGATTAACATGTGCAGGTATGTTTTATGTTACATAAACTTTATCAATGGTCAGTTTTTAGACTTCATTCAGTTCATTCATGCTCAAGAATTGGTCCAGTCCCAGAAAATCTGAAAGTAATTTTCTGATGATAAAGCAACAGCAGGAAAAACCCACATCCTGTGACTAGCTTTAGAACTATATTTTTTAATTTGTGATTTCACAGTATAAAATGCAAAAATATTCCAAATATTTAGCAATTTCTGCTTAAGGGAGGATATTTAATAATGCAAAATGTGTCTGTATCTAAAGTTATTTTTGTTTCTACACAATTTACTGCTGCATTCCTTTCTGATTCACAATTGTGCAAAGTGAGTATAAAATGTCTATTTTTTTCCAGTGCTTGCTAGTAGCTTTATCAAGATTATTGAACCTATTTTTGTATTTCCATTCAAGGAGAATTTTAACATTAAATTTCTAAAGTAATTTGAAAATTCAGACATTTGCCAGGTAGTTTCTGATCTCTCTCAGAGCCAAGTTTGTGTTGTTTATGCACAATGTAAGGCTTAACTGGGGATTTACTCATGATACTGGCCATCGTTCTACAACTGGAATTACATTAATTGAACTCAAGATACTGCACTTGTAATTTTTGCTATCATTTCTTTTGACTAAGAAGGATAAAGTGAAGCCAAGTCACTTACTCTGCATCTGTTTGCATTTTCATTTTCTCCAGATAAGATACTATGAGAGTGAAAAAC